CTTTTTTAACAGTACACTTTTTAAAATACTTTGCGATACATAACCAGTCCTTTTACTTTTTTTTTTTACTTGAACATCTCACCATCCGCAGAGGATCGCCAGCTGTAGTTTCACTTACGACGTGGTTCATGACGCAATAAACAAAAAAAAAAAACTCTTATTAAATTAGATTTTACAAAATCTATTTCAAAGATTTATTTTAAACAAACGATAAAGATATAGTATTTTAAAAAAATAAAATAAAAGAATCAATTTGAATGTCTGAGTCATGAAATCTGGAAGGGAGCTCAAAATACTGTCAACGAAATGCTTTTTTGTCCAATTTATTTCATTTTTACTTTTATTTTGCAGCATAATTTATTTTAAATATATTTCTTATTGGGGGAAGAATCGCGTTTCCTCAGTCTTCAAAGTAGCTTTTTATGACATACCTTGATGATTCGCTATTATCTACAGACTTACCATCCATTAACATATCTGAGTTCCTGTTAGTGTTATGTTATCTATATTTTAAGCTTTCAAAAAAAGAAAAAAAAAGTTTTGTTTATTTGCTTTCCAACCAGGGCAAAATGTGAGACAGGGTCATTAATGTAGGTTCCCACAATTTCTGTGTGGTTAAGCTTAAAGATAAGAATTATCAGGTTCCTTCTGCCTTGCATTTTGGCACTCTAAGCATCAGGGAATGTTCTGATCACAGTCTGTTTAATGCAATGGGGAGGTGTAGTCCGAGAGAGTGAGTCCCCTGGAACAAGGCCATCAGAATGTAGACATTTTTTTTCTATCAGTTTTCACATAGCTAAAATTGTCAACCATAAAACAGACTCCACATTTACTTGAAGAAAAACGGAAGAAAATACTGTTTTGCAATTTTTCATTTTCTAACATATTTTAAAAAATAAATAAATCTAAGATAAAAAAAAAATTAAGACCAACATACTTATATTATTTACACTGTTTATATTGTTTGGACTGTTGTCCTCATCAATGTTGTCATATTCATAATGCTTCAGCCTTCTTCAGATGATTGGAATTTTGAACTGAACCCTTTATTTCATCCACTGGGGTAGATTGTTCTATTTCCAGGTGCCATGCCACTTCTGGATGTTTCAGTTATTTCCCTTTTGTAACTCAATACTCATGGCCCAGTGGATAAAAGCTTTGGTTGAAGTAATCCAGTGACTTGACCCAAAGAGTTGAAAGTTCAATACTTGGCCACAGCAAAGGTGAGCAAAAACTTGGATTTGTGGAGGAAATAAGACTTGGTTTGAAATTCCAATCACCATGAATATGATGACAACAAAGATAAGGACAACAATGTCAATTGTTACAATACCTCATCTCAGAAATATAGACAGATAGTGCCAGCAGTTTTAAATAAGATAAGAAGAAATTAGCAATATGAGGCAGAGAATGTTTCTTTTTTTTTTTTTTTTTTTTTTTTTTTCTCCACCAAGCCCTAATTTTTACAAGCAGTGAGAATTAAGTTAGTCCCTGTCTCACCATAAAACCCTTAATTATCTCTGAATAGGAAGGACTAACACAAAACATTATTTTAGGCCTTTTTCAGTGAGAAAAAAGAAAATTTAACTTTATCTCCATTTTCCTTGTCTTTCCTATTTAGCTTCTCATATGTTAAAATTATGTAGCAAAGAAAACAGTAGCTTACCTCACAAATGAAATACCTACATGTATTACTGCCAAAAATTGTCAAAAAAACCCAGACTTTGTCTCCAGCTCATGATACAATTTTTTTATTTGACCAATTATAAGCATTTCAAGTGTATATAAGCTGTTGTTGAGATATGGTTTTGTTTGTGTGCAATGTAGTATTTGATTCTTTTTAGACCTGCAAAATTTGAACTTGCAAATGTCTTTCTGCTACAGGATAGTAGTAGTTTTTGGTTTGTGAAAAAGATCTTTTTGGTGACTTAAAAATAACACACACAATTAAAATTATTTAAAAACCAACAATAGCCTTTATTCTGTTGCAACAAACCAAATGAAAGAGTTAACATACTTCCCTCTGTTACTCCTGAGATTAAATGGGATTTTCAGAAATAGTTATTGATTTGGAGCTGAATCATTGTCTAGATATGATAGTTAAAAAGCATCTACTCTTGCAATGCTTTTAATCTGCTTTTAACAAGCAAGAAGTTACTGGAAAAACAAGAGGTCATTGGAAATAGTGGGAAAAAATTGTTCTTAAGACATTTTAAATAATAAAATTATTTTTTTGAAACTTGGATGATTTCTACAATTAGAATAATTTTTTTGTGAATAAACTATAGCAGCTCTAAATGCTGTTGTTGCATTTTGCTCAAACAAAAAGCCTTTCAGAAAGAAATTTCTACAAAAATGTAAGTAGACATGTTTTAAAGGTTAAATTACAAAAAATGCATTAATGATTGATCAATTTTATTATTTCATTAAAATTCCAACATTAAAAATCCCAAAACAAATACTGTAAAATTAAAACAAAATAAACAGTGTCTGTTTAACATGACAAGCAATGGACAAATTTCAATTTCTTTTTAATTACATAAGCCACAAATTTTTCAATTATTGTTTGGCTCTTGCATGAAATCCAAAGAAATTAACATTGGCAACAGATTTTTCTTTTTTTAAAATCATAATTTTCTGTGGATATAGCAATCACCTTTTGATAGAATAAATAATTCAAAACATAATCTTTAAAAGCTGCAGTCTTTCAATTTGACCTAAGTGAAGATAAATTAATCTTCTTTTTTTTAAGTTACCATACTATAATCAATGTATTTTGTTCAGTTTTATGAACATAGAATCATTTTTGTTTTTTTGTTTTTGTTTTTTCCAACTTTCATCACTTCAGTTGAAACACATACTAATGTACTACAATTTAAATCTATAACATTCATAAAATGTTATAGACCTAATTTAAAAAAAAAAAAATTGTAACAAGGTAAATTCAGTTAAAGTTAGCATACAAAATACAGCTTTAGCTAAAAACAAAAAGACAAACATTAGCCTATTGGAGTGACACACAAGCATTAGTGATTTAATGTTATTGTGAAAGTGATGGAAAATGGGCCCCTGATTATTCTAGCCTACATAAAGATTTCTAAATTTACTTTTAATACTAAATCTAATTTTGTCACTGTAAATATTTAATATATATTAAAAAGCTTAAGAATGTTACCAGAAACAAATGTGTAACAGCAACTTGCTGAAAAAATATTGTATAGATATGCTGAATATAATGTAGGAAATTTTCAATTATTCATTTGTATTCATAAATGTAACATTTTGCAGTTGTAAAAATTTTTTATAAATAAATTTGAATTTTTTTAAAAGGAACAACACACACATGTATATACGCAATCAAATTTTTCTACATGAAAAATTTAATTTGAATTCTGAAACATTAAATATTTCTTTTTTAATAGATTTAATAAATCTAAGAAACAACAAAAGTCTCACAATGAAATTTTCTGTTTAAATGGTCTAAGAAACAATGAGTCATATTCAATGGAACAACTATAACATTTCATGTTTGGTTTTTATATTAATTTCTCAGGCACACAATTTGCTCAGCCTTCTGTGTTTGTCAGCCTAGGAAAAGTGACATAGAATCTATTCTTGTCCATTCATATTAGAAAGAATTGAAACAATATTGTTTTTGTTTTCTGTCCAATCTCTTATTCTGCTTAGCACCTTAAATGTGAACTTGAAAAAGGGATTATTCTGTTGTTAGAATTTAAAAAAAAAAAAAAAAATTTTTAAAGAAGTAAACACATTATCAATGAAAATCATTGCTTCAAACATTTTTCCTATTGGCCTCAAAAGTAGAATCATACATATACAAAATTCTGATTTTTATATATTTATGATTGTTTAATTTGAATCATACAGTCACTTTCTAAAGTTGTATTCTCAGAAACACATGTTGATTAGACTTCTATCAATAATTTTCAGTTAATCTAATAAAATTTTTGCTAATGTATGTCCACATTTTGAAAATGGATAAAGATGGATTCAAAATAACATCTATTTAGACTCTGTCCTTTCATAGCCATTGTAATGTTGCTCTTTCATTTTTTGGTCATGAATTTAAAATGAGTTTTATAAATTACAGGCACAAAATAATTTGAAGAAATGAATAAAGAATTTGTGAAAGTAGATAACAATAATGATTAAATCAAGGCAATTTCTATCAAGCATATCAGGATATAAAAATGCACAATTATTCACCTTAAAATAGTTGTATTATTTTCAAGAGAACTTGTTAAAATTAAGAACTAAAAGAAAAAAAGGTCAAGTTCTAAAAAAATCAATAATAAATACTTGGAATTTGTGACTTTTGAAGAAAAAAATAAATTATTTCAACTACAAAAAAAAAACAAAAAACAAACATGTTTTTCTAGCCAGTTGCTTTAAACAAAAATATTTTAAGTAATATCAATTTGCTTACAAAATCAGTGGGGGGTACTTATTTAGTTAATATTGTGAAAAAACTGAATATTTTTAATGGGCACTTTTAACAGAAATGAAGTTTACTTATGTATAAAGGACTTTTTTTAAATAAATGCTTAATAACAAATGAAAAGTTGATTCAGTCCAACTTCTCACTAACAACATATGTAAAGACATTAATATAGAATCCTCAAATAATTCTCTTTATAAAAAAAAAAAGACAGCAAAGTAACTTATACTCTTATAATTTATCCAAATTCCTTAATTTATAAACCACCTATCACAGCTGCATTTGTTCAGAAAAATTCAGGTCAAACGAAGTCTTCCTCAAGATGGATTGCTTAAGGAAAATGGAATGGAAAATTTTGAGATGCATGTTCTGTTTTTTGACAAGATTTTTTTTTTCTGTATATGAAAATATTAACATTTCTGCAAGTCTGGAATGAATGTGTGTGGTTTTTTTTTTTTTTTTTTTTTTTAAATGAATTTCATTTACAACCAAAAATAAAATAAAATTTTAGAAAATGATAAACTCAAGAACTATTCCTATATCAACGCCGATATGGATGATATGATTGTGTGATTGGTTGTCTTTGGTTGTAAGTGTGTCCTGGATTAGCAGCATCTGTGTGCGTAAACATCATCATATGTCCATTTCCAGCAGGCGAAGGAGTAGCAGGACCAGTAGGGAAGTTGGCATTCTCATTATCACCAAAACCTTTAATCAGATAAAATATCATTAAATATAATTATACTCGATAATTGGTATTAAGTGTTGTCTTTAAATTTTAAATTATGCATACATTGTGGTGCATACTTATAAGACCTGCTGAACTTTCACATTATGAAGGTTCAATTTAGCTTATTTCGTAAAATATTATGAATTTGTAGATACATGAGAAAATCTTTCTGCAAGTAACTGTTTCAAAAAGTACTTTTTTGGTAGACATAAAATAAAGCTGTTGCAAAATTATAAGACCAGTAAGAAAATGTCAAAGAAATGTTTACTTTTAGTAGCACCTTCCTGGCGATAACCTGGAAAGTTTCTACCAGTCTGCACAAGTCATTGTTTTCTATTGAAGCCACGCATCCTTTATAGACGTTTTTGATTCTTATGTTGAACAGTATTGACACCCACCTTCATATACCTTATGCTGAAGGATACCCCACAGGTTCTCAATTGGATTGAGGTCAGGAGAATGTGGTGGCCAAGTCAGTGTCAATGTTACGGTTCTGAAATCATTGTTGTGCTTTGATGGAATAGAATTTACTGTTGGCACTGGCAATTTCTTCTGCATAAGGAAAGCAGGCAGGCACCAAATAAAAAAAAAATTTTGATCTCCAGCAGCATTAAGCTGAGTGCTGATAAAGGCTTTTAGTGTTTTTTAAAATGGATTAGAAGAATTTTTCATTCAACTTTAGATTCTCAAGGCTAAAAAAAAAGCATGTCTTAAAAAACTTTAAAAGTAACAACAATTGGGCAAAAGAACACATGACATGGAAGGAAGAGAATAGAAGCCTTTGGTGTGATAAGATGAAAAGATCAAATTTGCACAAAGATGGCCTCTGGTGTTCTCTCACCATATGTTCAAGGTAATAAAAGTATAATGATTTTGGCAGTTCATCTGAAAGTTCTTATAAATATGCACCATATTGTAAGTCTTTATTAGTAAGAGAACTTTAAATAGTACTTAAGTTTAGCTATTATTGCCAGGCTTTCTTAATAATTTACCTAAAAGAAACATTTTTATCTTTAAGCTTCTTTCATTCTTGGATCAAATCTATTTGCAAAAATGAACTCCTTTATAATAATGCACAGGTATAACTTTGTATAGAAATCTCTAATGTAAAAACTAGTGGTTATTTAGCTAAGCATAATGCATTCATACATGGGGGTAGCTAATAGGAAAAGTTTACATTTGGACTTGTTATGTCGTGTATCCTGCTAAGTTTTTCTTCCACCTCCGTTCTAGTTGGTGTCCATTTATCATATGAGCTAACTGCTCATATGCAAATTATACTAATTTGCATATCACTACATCTCCCTATAACGGAGGGGCCTTATGCCGCGAGTACTTCTTGTACTTCTTCTTGTGCCCTCCTGAACATCTTCCTTTATCTCACTCCTTTCCCTTGGAGATCTAGATCTATCACATCTTTCCCTATAATCGAATTGTTCCTCTTGCATACTCTGGTCTTCCTCTTCTAACTCATCCCTTTCTACTTCTTCCTCTGCAGTTTCATTCTGCATTAACTCTTCTGTTACATCAATAATGGGCATCTCTGAAGGCATTTCCTCATCCGATTCTTCCCCTTGGGATCTTATTTGGTCAGCATGAGCTAGAACACTGTTCCCATTTTCTTTATTTAATATTGCAGTATTATGTCCTTTCTGCATAATAAATTCGGCTGACTCGGGTTGCATATTCCTATTTCTTTTGTACCACATCTTTTGATTTGTGGCATATGACATAGTCAAAGGGGACCTTAATTGTCTGCCCATTAAGGCAGATGGACTTTCCGGCCTGCCTGCATGTGGAATTGTTCTGTAACTTAATAGTAATCTTGGTAGGAAAGCATCGATTTCCTCCTTCTGTTGCAAGCATGCTTTTATGCCCTTCTTTACCGTCTGGACCATCCTTTCCACTGCCCCATTACTTTGAGGGTGGTAGGGAGGTGTCTTGTAAGGTCTGCATCCTATTTTTCTTAGCCATTCATGCAAATCAGCATCCACAAATTCTGGTGCGTTATCAGTCACCAATGTTCTCGTGTCCCATTCCTCGAAAATATTACTCTTAATATTTGTTTTTCACGGTGGTACTTTTTTTATCAGGTACTCTCACCACTTCAGGCCAACCTGAATATCGTCTACTAATATTAATAATAGTCCTATCCCATTGACATAGGCATGGTCCATGTGTACTCTGCTCCATGGTTCTACTTCTCGGGGCCATACATGTATTTTCTTTTGCTTAAAATTCCTGAGTTCTGTGCATTTTTTGCATCTTTTTACGTAGTCTTCTACGTCTCTTGAGTACCCCGGCCACCAGGCTTCCAATTTTAATCTTCTTTGCGTAGCTGCCACTCCACAATGTATGTCATCGTGTACACTTTTTATAACCTGTCTCCTCTGTGTTTCTGGGGGAACTACCAAGTCTCCATTACATATTATCCCGTTTTCTATAGTCTGTCTATAGTTTCTATGTCTAATTTCTTTGAATGGTCTTTCAGCCATTGAACAATTTCCCCAGCGATTCTGTTTTATCCTCGACATTATTCTATTTAACACTGGGTCATTTTTAGTTTCAGTAGCCATTTTATCTACAGATATTACATCGGTTTCTACAAGGTGCAAGAATGTGTCTTCAAATTCCTCATCGTTTTTGTCCTCCTCTCTATAAAACCTCAATCTAGATAAGGCATCAACGTGCGGTATCGTATTCCCTTTAACATATTCAATGTCAAAGTCGAACGCCATCAGTCTAATCGCCCAACGTAATATTCTGGACGTAACTTTTCGGTAGCTCTTTTCTTGGGTTGAAAATAAATTCCAGTGGTCTATGATCACTTTTCAACAAGAATTTTTTCCCATCAAAACTGTCTTGCTCTGTCGTTGTCCACACTATGGCTAGTGCCTCCCTTTCTATATTCGAATAATTGTGTTCAGTTGTTGTTAATCTCCTCGATAAGTACATTATGGGATGCCCATCTTGTGACAAAATACCAGATATGGACTGCTCACTAGCGTCAGTAGTTAGTTATGTCCTTCTTAGGGTCAAAAATTTGTACTATTGGCTTATTTGCCAGAATCTGTTTTAAGTTTTCAAAGGCTTTCTGTTAGTGTTCTAACCAAATGAATTCCATATTTTTTTTTCTTAACTTAGCAAATGGCTCTGTCAACTCATTATATTTTGGTACATATTTTCTATAAAAATTTACCAAACCTAAGAAGGACTCCAACTCTTTTTTATTTTTTTTGTGTAGCAACTTTTAGAATTTTCTCTATTAGTACTTTATCTGGAGAGATCCTTCCTTTGATATTGAGTAACCCAAAAATGATATTTCATTACTGTTGGTTACACACTTTTTTGTATTTATTGTCATACCAGCGTCTCTCAGCCGTTCAGTATATTTTCAGTTTTTTTCTTTAAATCATCTTCATTTAAATCTCCAACACATATATCGTCTTGATAACAGATGGTATTTTCAACATTTCCTATTACTTTTTCAATAGCTTTTTGAAAAATTGCACTTGCCGTTTTTATGCCATACGGCATTCTTTTCCACCTTAACAGGCTTATAGGTGTGTTTATAGTGGTCACTTCTTTAAAATTTTCATTTATCGGTATTTGGTGGTAAGCTGATTTTAGGTCTATCTTCGAAAATACTTTCATTCCAGCAAGTTTATGTAAAGCTACTTCCACATTCGGAATAGGGTAAGAGTCAGCACAAACTTTATGGTTCACCCCTATTTTATAATCTCCACAAATTCTCAGGTCACCATCTTTTTTTTTCAATACCACAATGGGTGATGCCCATTTACTTCCTCCTGGAGGGCAGGTTCTAATAAGTCTTCCTTTATTAGCTTTTTGCAATTTAGCTATTACCAACTGTAATAAATGCACTGGTATTTTTCTCGCTTCCGTAGTAGGAGGGGGGATTTTAATTTCAAGCTAGCTTCATAGTTTTTTAATTTTCCTGTTTTTTCTATTTCTATCTCATTAATCAACTTCGTTGAATTTATTTTTAACACGTCATTCCCCAGTAGTCCATGCGTTTTTTTCGCAATTTGTAACTATAATGGGTACTATTTCATATTTTTCTTTTTAATTCTATTGAACCTTCAAAGTAACCCATAATTGCTATAATCGAGCCATCAAACTGATGTAGTTGTACATTGGTTTTTTTTTTAAAACAGTTTTTCCCATTTTTCCCACAAATTTCTGGGTACTATTGTGACGTCACTACCTGTGTCGATTTGCATTTAAACAATACAGTCATTGATTTTCACTTTTATTTTTGTATCTCCGTTCTTAGATCCAGTATTTTGTATATTATCCTTTTTACATTAAAAAATCTGTCTATTTTCATCCTCTACTCTTTCCACATTTTTCGTTTTACATACTTCTTTGAAGTGATTTTTTTTTTTAGACACTTTGAACATGTCTTTCCAAAGGCTGGGCATTTTTCTTTTTTCATTTCATGAATTTTTCCACAGTACGCATAATTTTTTCTTTTTTGTTTGTACCGTATATGTTTCAGCCATTATTTCTTCATAGGATTTATTTTTATTTTGGTTGTAGGTATGTATTAATTCCTGCTGTTGTATAAATTCTATACACATATTCAAAGGCATGTTTGTAAGTTGTAACTGTTTCATTAACTTATATCTATGTGCCGAATTATGCATACCTTCAATTAATCTTAGTTGGATTAATTCTTCTTCCGTTGTCTGCTCTCCTGTTCCTAGTTTTTCGAATTCACAGTATTTACTCGCACTTCTTAACCGGTGTAAATATTTTACTATCGGTTCATCCACTTCCTGCTTCATTGCCATAAACTTGGTCCTTTCTGCAATCACCAGTCTTTTCTTTGGCCTCATGTTTCCCTTAATAACCTGACTTATTTCTTCAAAAGTCATTTCTTCTAGTTCTCGAGGGTAAACCATTGTAGCAACCTTCATAATCGCTTCACAACCAGCGGTAGCCATGAACAAGTCGGTGATTTCATTTTCCCCCTCCTCTGTTTTTTTGTTGTCTTTCAACTTTTTACATCTAGCATTAGCAGCAAAGCAACGAATCCACGTGTCTACGTACTCTGGGTCTTCAAGGACCAAAGAGTATCCTATCGGCGACGCCATTGTTATGTCGTGTATCCTGCTAAGTTTTTCTTCCACCTCCGTTCTAGTTGGTATCCATTTATCATATGAGCTACCTGCTCATATGCAAATTATACTAATTTGCATATCACTACAGGACTATTGTCCTGTTGCTATCACATTTCAGGTGTTGGTCAATTCTTCAAGGAATTTTGAACTGAGCCCTTTATTTAATTTAAAGGCTAGTTTGTTTTTGTTCTGTTATCCACATACTGGAATAACTCATTCTTATTTAGTATTGTTCACTCTGTTTCCAGTACTAAATAAGAACTAGACAAGATACCTGTTGAGATATTGTGAGTTTCCCGCGTGTCGGTGTATGAATCGAGACAAACACAGTTGTAGAGGAAAATACTGGTATATTCATAAAAGCAATTAACAATAGAGTGATTAGTAGAACGAAGGTTGGTTAGTACGAAACAATATCCAAAGTCTATAGTCCAACGGTATGTACCGGGTAAGCTTATCTGGACTGCTCACGCTGACTCTCTCTCTCTGAGGCTCCCCCACTCTCTCCAGAGCTGACTTATATAAGAGGGACCAGTCCATTACTAGTTAGAAGGTGGGTGCGCCCCAACAATACCCCTGGACATGGACAACAGAATGAGAACAATCTAACCCCATAGATTAAAGAAAGATTTCAGATTGAAATTGCTTGAAGGTTACCTTGATCAATAGATACCTGAACAAGACTGGATGGCACAGCAACAAAAGGAAGTATGAATTTAGTCAATCATTAATACTCACCAAAATTTGAATAAGGCATTCCAGGTGTTGGTTGCTGAACTGGTGTTTGAGGAGTGTTGACAAAATTTGGAGGGATTTTAAGCTGACCTAAGGGAGACAATCCTGGGTAAACAGTAGGAAGAGTAGATGGTGATGTCATTTGGTTTGAGATGCTATATGACGAATTTGGTTGCAGTGGTGGGGGTGGTGGTGGTTGTTGTTGCTGCTGCTGTGGTGGTAGCTGAGTTGGTAAGAGGTTGGGTGGTGGCACTCCAGTCCATTGACCTCTGTCACTGGGAGCAGTTTGCCCTGAAGAATAACAAATTTCATTGTGAAGTTTTTATATATTAAAATAAAAAAAAGGATTATAAAAGTAATGTTTCTCTTAATATTCACATAAAGAGAAATAAAATACAATTAGGAGATAACATTCAATCATAGAAACAATAAAGATAGTGTATATCAGTTATGTGCCATGCATGATACATGTGTAGGTGATCATGTATCTTAATACATGACTTACGAAACAGATTTTTTCCCACAGTAGGTTACCAGTTGCCATCCAAGGCTATAGAACCCGGTCTGTCCTGCTATTTATCCATAGCTGGGAGGAGGAGAAAAGAGTGTATTAGCACGTAAGTGAATGTAATGGATTCAACTAGAATTTGAACTTGGCTCTCCAATTCCTCAATCCAAGTCGGTATCCATTACTCCACCGTGTAATTAACAACTCATTTCTATAAAGTTAAAAGTATTTATAGATATCAATCTTTTAATTTTAACAATATTTAATGAGGGAATATCTATAATGTATTGACAACGGCCCTTATACTTTCTGGAAAGCCACAATACTATTTTTTTTTCTTTATGAACTGAACTTTTATGAATTTTTACAGAGAAAAAAAAGATCCGAAATTGTATAATTTTTTAGTTTATTTATAAATTCTGGCAGTAATGTCAAATTTCAAATGATCATTTAAAAGATACTTCTAATTACATAATAAATGTAAAATCCTTACAAAATACTCTAAAAAAAATTTTTTTTTTTTTTTTTTTTTAAATCTGATGACAACACATTTTGAAAAATAATCGGACACAAATGAAATAATACTGGGCGGTATTTGCATTACTAAAATATAAATTACTGAAAAAAAAAAAAAAAATGAACACACACATTTCAAAGTTTCATGCATGCATCCCTTTTACTTTATGATCATTGGGTTACAAAAGGGCAAACATATCAACTTATAGTCTTTATTTCATAAACTCCTAAACCATAGGGGCTGCTACACCATCATGTTAGGTGATGCTATTGTGGCTTAAATCAGTGTTTTGTAACCTTTTCCTTGTGGCCTATTTTTGGTTTCAAAAAGATTTCAGGCTTACATCAGCAAAAATAGAAATTCCATGTAACAGGAAATACATTTTATTTACAAAAGCAAAATATGAATCCTGACTAAAACAATTGAAGGAACAAAATTTAAATTCAATTTTAATCACATCAGGTGATAAAATCAAAAACACACATTGCCTGTAAATAAAAAGTTTGATAGATTATAAATAACAAATAGTGGAAATGTAGATTAATGTTGCTGATATAATATAGATAATGCTTTCAAAAATTAAAACAAGATTTTTGTTAATTCTGTCATATTGTAACTCAATAAGTCACATTAAATGCATAAAAAATGCTGGTTTCAAATCAATTTGAAAATGTAATATATTATAAGAAAACATTGAAAACTTTATTTAATTTCTGAATGATTGGCCTTTAAGAATAAAGTAGAGCAGTTTGTGTTTTCAAAATTTTAAGCCAGTGGGGAGGGGGATAGAATTTCAAAGTGCACCTATTTTCCTTAACCCAGCTCCAGGCCCATTTTTAAAACTTCAGTCCCAGCTGTTTGCCTAAGGGCCCATGTTGAAAATTACTGGTTTAAATAGCAAGTATATTTTACAGGGTGGTGTTGCTAGTCTCAATTTGAATTTAGAACTGTTCTTCTCAACTGGCTACTAAGGCTACAAAGCCAAGTCTGCCCCACTATTTAACCTATAGCTGAGGTGAAGAAGGAAGAGATGAATTTGTGCCCCCTTTTCTTTTTTTTAAAGGATATTAGAATAAAGTGAATGCAACAAATTGTTGAAATTTGAACTTTGCTTGCTTCAAAGAAAATAAATAAAAAAAACTTGTTTAAATGTAAAATTCTTATATAAAAAAAAAAGTAATCAGCTATTAAAAATTGACATGATTTCATTTTAGAGATGAAAATGAAAAAAAAATTGTTCGATTTCACTAAAAAAAAAAAAAAAAGCAAGTTTATTTTTCTTTACTGTTAATGGCTTTCTCTCTCAATCCTCTCACAAACATTAATGAGAGGTTCTTGTAATGGAATAAGCATATTCACAGTGACTGTTTCTAATATAAACGAGTTTCTTCACATGATGACTGCCAACTTTTCTCTTTAACAAATGAAGCAGATATTGCACTAATGCTATAGTAATTTCTAAATGTAGAAAATACAACTCATCTTTTCCTAAATATCATCTTCACAAGTTCTTGTTATCAGTACACAGAAATAGAAGAGAGCTTTCACCTGGGGATTCTAGAGATGCAGGCTGGTTCCAAGGAGCCATATAGTCATGTGCAGATTGTTGTGGAGGTGGACTTGAGAAATTAGGGTACACTGGAGGTGGATATGTTTGCCCAGCTGTGGTGGGTTGCTGCACTGGCACAGCTGACTGTTGCTGTTGGCGCATCTGCTGTTGCTGGGCTATTGAGTAAATACCTGGATAGCTTACGGGTTGGTAGATGGAAGGAATGGCCCCATTGGCAGTATAAGGCTGCCTTACACTGTCTCCATTGGAAACACTATTGTAACCATTTTCACTTGTCATGTCTTTTCTATTCTCACTATTGCTACCCTCAGGTGGTGGCCTCCACATCTCAATTCCTGGTGCAGGAGGAGCAGGTTTGAGATCAAGGGATGGGGGAGGATGCTGCAGTTGGTGAAGCATTGGAGGAGGGGGAGGGGGAGAATTTGGCATAAAATAATTGTTGTTATTGCTACTGCTGCCATCGTTGTCCTGAGGAATTTTACTTTTGCTTAAGGGCTCTGCTCTTTTGCATTCAACCTGAGAAAATAAAAAAAAAATATTGCTTGAAATTTACAAAAATCAACAAAACAAAAAAAAACATTTGCAATTTATATTCTAAGGCTATGCAAGGCTGTAATACACAAGTTGTCTTACCAAATTAATAGGTTAAAAATTGAACTACTTTGAAGCAAATCTGAAGAGGTTTTAATTGGTGTGAGAAATGCTTACTATTCAGTTGTTGAAAAATTATTCTCAATTAATACTGTTCAAAAGAATAATTATCAATAAAAATGAATAAAATTTTGTTAAATTCAATTATAAAATATTCTAATCATAACACCTCAAAATTCTAAAACTTATTTAAGATATGCAGTAAACAAGATCTAAATATTATATCTGGTCTAAATACTTAATGTAAAATTCAAATAAAAATAATACCATTGTACTTAAGATACACACACTACTTAAAATATAAAATGTCCAATAATAGTTGTTACATTTTTATACACATTTCACACTTTAAATTTAACAACTATTATAAGACATAAGTACTATATAGATATTACTTAATGATTGTGTAGCCAATAAAATCACCATAGTGATCACTAAATGGTTATAAAATCCAACAATTGGATCATATTATATGATCCAGTCAATATATACATTTAGTCATTTCAGATCAATAGGACACAAATGTAAATATTGTTGCAACTAATTAAAAATGTATTCAAACATAGGACTTAAAAAATGACCTCACTTTTCTACAACTAAAACCATTCTTTGCAGACAATTTCAAAATAGTATTTTAAGTACTCTGTAATTATCAGAGATTAATTTTATTTAAATGTTCATGTTTCTTTTCCTTCATATTGTCAATCAAATTATCCTGTAAACCATTCTTTGAATTTGTTTCCTTTCACTAAATTCTAACATATTCTAGTATTAATCTTGCTTTTTTATGTTTGTCTTGTATCTCCTTTCATGTAAATTTGTAAAAACTAAAATTTTGATGTCCTTTTTGAGATGAATTTAGATGTAAGCAGTTATTAAATCTCATTGGGCTAAAATATATATAGTCAAAATATTACAGTCTAGGAAAACTACTGTAGCGAAAAAGTTTGTCTTAGAGAATTTGGCGTAACAAAAGGGATTCGAATATCCAATAAAACAGATCATATATTTCTTCATGCTAAGAAAAAGCAACAGAGGGTTAACCAAGAGAAGAGTTAGTAATGCAAGGTTAGAAGGTGGAGCAGTTTACAGGTAATACATACCAGTACTGCTGGAAAGGGAATAAGAATGTACAAAGAAGAAGCAACAGTTAAGTAAAAAAAAAAAAAAAAAACTACTAAGAGAAACCTAAGATCTAGGAGGTTAAATGAAAGGAAGAGAAAAAAAAAATCAGTTGTGCAGAATAATCTAATCTAAAGCAAGAGAGTTTACAGCAAATATTACTTGCATTTTAAACAACATGCTCTTTTGAACTAAGAATTTGCTGATGGAAAAAAAAAAAAAAAAAACACAAGCTGCATGAAAGAGATGGAAATTTTCCAGGGTTTCTCTTCAGTGGCTTGCTAATTTTTTTGACCAGCACTATAATTTAATAGGAATTATTAAGGCAAGAACTAAAGTTTATATCAAATCCAAATCGTTCTGCCTATTATCTGCTTTCATTTTCTTCCTTTTAATTCTATGATAAAATATTGTGATTGTCATTTAATAACATTGATTATTCTCATCTTTTGATTTTGTCACAATTTTTCAGCTGTTAATTTTTCCAGCCAATTTCTGTAATTGATTAGAAACTGTTCTGCAGTTGTTACATACATCCCATAATTGGCTGAATATACATATTTTAATAAAAGATGAAAATAGTTGGAAAATATCTGAAAAATTGTGTCCACCTATTGTTTAAAAATCCATGTATCTTCTAACACCTGCAATGTGTACCCACTTTGCATATATATATATACACACACACACATATCTATATGCATGCACACATCAGTGCACAAAGACTGCATTCTGATCCTAGACAAAAGTGCAATTTAGTGACACTGATTCTAAGCAGAGTGAACAGATTCTGTTTATATGAGAAGTGCCAATCAATATATAAATAATTATGCTATCTTTGATAGGTATTATGCTAATAGATAAATACTAAAAAGCATTTTACTAGATCATGTGAAGAGTAAGTGACTGTGATAGAAGCTTGAATTATTACAATGGTCTAATTGACAATCTATAAGTAAGGTATATTTAGAATTGTGGGGCAGCACCTGGAATACAAACCAATAATTTTGGGATATGGGATTTTTTTTTTTTTTTTTTTAAAAAAAAAAATCAAATTTGAATACTTTCTGGCTGGATTTGGCAGGTGCACAGTTTAGTTCATAGCTAACTGTTTAAAGTGAAATAATTATTATAAAGATGTTCCAATTTTACAGCAATATAAAATATATAATACAGGCTGCACAAATGAGTGGATGAAATTAAACAGTGATGGGCTGCATGGTATGGCTTCAGTTCTATTTGGCTGCTGTCTTACACTAAAACTAGCAGATCATTATAAATAAAAAAAGAGAAGGAACTAACTTGTACTCTTTAGAGAGATATGGATGAAACCACCAGAGTTATATCATAAGAATCAACAAAAGAAGTCTAAGATGTTAGTATGATCTTCAATACCAGAAAATAGAAGCCTTCCTAGCAGTCAAAAGAAAAATTAGACCCTATTCAATGTTCAAATCCCAATACACTTAGATAAATATTGAGGGACTATACCTAATAATTCCTCTTCATTTATATTTATCAGGATAATTGACAGTTACTTGGCAGTGCCCATTTTCTTTCCAAATAACACGTGACAATGTGTACTGTATTACATGTTACCAGTAGCAAGGAATATCCCTGACCTGATAATTTTTCAATTACCTGTTATTTACCCATAGCCAGGGTAGGATTGGATTCATGCCTTTCTCAAGGGAATTATTATAACGTGAACCCCAATTGTTTCAGCTGGAATCTATTATCAATCAGACCTCATTCAAAATGACAGGTGAAAGCAAAACATGACAAAAAAACAGTTAAGCATTTGAGTTGATGGTAGTAAGATGAGATGTTTCATGACACCAAATGCAAATGTAGACACAACACTTGAACCTCTAAACTCTTTCCTCATGCAGCATAGGGCTGCAACGACACCATGCTAGGTGATGCTGCTATGGTTTCAGTAGCAAATAGATCTTACTCTGTGGGGGTGGGGAGATAAGAGTTGCTAGCCCTACACTTAACCAATCTGAATTCAGAGGTGTCTTTTCTCTTAGATTGGTTACCAAAGATAGAGAACCCAACTTGAAGAAATACATCCCTGCCTTTCCCCAGTAAATGCACCAAACTCAACCAAAGAATTCAACCTGCCAATGTCATTTTTCCATACCTATAACTATTATGCTATCTAAACCTCCAAATATAAACCTGGAGAATCCACAATTTTGCTGTCAAAATTATGGTATCTAAAATTTAATAGGCATGTTAGATAATATTTAAGGATACCTTTCTTCCATATATCACTTACCATTCAAGACACTAATAAGATGAGTTTGAACAAAAAAAAGTCAAGCTATTAATGATGCTATGATTAATAGATTATTAATATTTTTGAATAACCAGCCTGAAGTTGATAATGGTTTAAGTCCAGAAATACACACAAAGCAGTTGAACATGAAGCAAGATTGACTATAGCTTAAAGTTATGGTTAGAACACAAATGGAGATTTTAAAGTAAGCAGTAGAGAATATAAAGAATGCTATTTTTGAAATTAGATCAGATTTGGTTAAATTTCAAAAGGCAATACAGATGACCAAACAGGAACAATGCATAGCAGTGGCTTAAGGATTAACAACACAGAATGTTATGTCTTTGCTAAGGATGTTTCACCATAACACCAATTCTGATGCTAACTTGAAGAGATGAAACAAAATCAATTCTCTTTGAGAAGAGGGGCAAAAACAAAATCCTATTGCTTCTGGAATAGCAACAACCCAAACGAAATAAACACTGTACTTCCTGATAGTGTGACTATCATAAGAAAAATTCTTATTGTGCTAAATTAAGAACATTTTGTAGTTTTTGTTACAAACTGATCTTTTTATAATTCACAACATAATAGAAAAAAAAACAAATTTCAATTAATGACACTTGGCCTGCAGATTCAGCAAAATTTAATGTAATATTGATTAAATCAGTAGTTCAAAATATAAAATGAAATCTGTCAATAAGTTTACAAGATTTTAGTTTTTCATACATTATAATCACTTCCCAATTGTTGGATAAGACAAAAGACTTCAACTAGAAAATATACTTGATGTCAATAAGTGAAATTTAAAAAAAAAATAATTTTGAGTTTTTACTTCAATTTTTTGATTTTAAAATTGTATTATTTTTCAGAGTGCAAGCTAAGTGTAATTTAACTATTAAAGTGAGGAATATAAAAACATTGAAATAAGAACAAACCCAGCAGTTTTCAATCACTTACCATTATTGAGTAAGCTAATATATAACAAGATAGAAAATAAACTCAAGTGTAAAAAAAAAACGCCTAATAATGTATAGCTCCTCTCTTTGCCTGAATAATGAGAGCTATGCATAATGGTAAAGAGTCTATGAGTGGCTTGAGTCATTACATGCATATATCTATACAGGAATGTTCCAATCTGTGTGTGTGTGTATGTATATATATATATATATATATATATAGCACACAAACACACCTGTCAAGACTAACTTCAGTTTCACTCATGGTCTTTTACAAATGCCAACAGAACAGATCTGTATTACAGAACTACCAACTTGCACAACAGTGATGACAAGGTGGATGAAATGGTAATGCCCTCTACACAAATTTGGTTTACTCAAAACATGGAACCGGTTCAACTAGGTAAACAACTGCCAGTCTTTGATGGTTTAATGGAAATGGGGTATAGCCAAGGTGAGGTATAATAATTAATGCCATAGTATCAAAAATGTTACCTTGT